GGGCACATTTGATTTGATGCCACAGTGATGGGACCTAGCACTATGTGTACCATGGATGTAACTCATTATCTCCCCAGTATGAACTGTAGGCCCTGTGACATCACTTTCTGGGATATTTGAAAATGTTGAGCAAATGCTTTTCCCTTTATTAGAAGAATTGGAAAAAAGAGTGAAGATTTGGAAGTTATGTAAGAGAGGTTAGAAAGCTTCCTGGCATCTGAAATCACCCCATTTATTGACATAATCATCTGTTCTTAGCATGCCTCATGTTTAGGCCTGCTAAGGCTGTATGGCAAGAAAAAGAGAAAGGATAATATTGGAGAAGGCTCAACTTCTCTCTTGTGTTGATGGACAAAGGAAATTGTAACTTTTTAAAAATATTTTTTTTAGTTGTTGATGGACCTTTATTTCCTCCACTTATATGTGGTGCTGAGAATCTAACCCAGTGCCTCACATGTGAGGCAAGTACTCTACTACTGAGCCACAACCGCAGCCCATGAAATTTTAATTTTGAGAAAACAATCTGATATATTGCATTCTGCAATCATGATCTTAGCCTCTCATCCACATTGATTCTAATGATGAAGACATAGAAGTAAATAAAATTAACTGAACACTTTCAAATGGTACCAAAATAGAGAATACTTTTAAGTAAAGTAAATAAAAGAATGAACAAAATGGGCAAAAATAGGTGAGTAGGCAGTAAGTTCATTAGAAATAAACAATAAATGGTGCCCAGATGGTTTGGTATGAAATATAGGACTGCAGAATTCCTTGTTTGTTTTTAGATTGGAAATGGCATTTCACTGGCATGCAGAAAAAAATACTAATTGATTACCTGGAACATTTCTTAATTGATGGTTTAATAAACTACAGGTACTCTTACACTTTAGAGCTTTGATGAAAGATTATATAAAACAAATGATCTTTATTTTAATGAACTTCATTAGTGATAGATTAAAATAAGCAAAACAGTGGTAATTCATGAAACAACTATGCAAAATACTAACAAGATCAGTAGTATCAGCAATAGACCGGTAGTTGTGTATATTTTGAGACCAACAAAAATATGGAGACATCAGGATCTGATTACACTTAAGATTAGGATACATTTATATTTGAGATGCAATAAACAGTCTATTTAACATGGTAATTAAATTTCTTTTGATATGAATGAGTAACAAAGACCAGGAAGGATTCACATAATTCTGTCAATACTCTGTGCTTTAATAGGGCACATGGACCCCCTCCCACAGACCAAATTCAATATATACTTTATTTATATTTTTACCAAACATATTAATATGTATTATTTCCTTCAAAGCCTTTTGGAAACTAACAAAGATTCAAAGGAGAAATGGACCCTTTGGCAACTTCAAGGCCCATTTTGAAATGGAAAATCCTCTTGCTAAGTTTAGACTGTAGATCTGTGGTGTTTGTAGATTTGGCATAAAGGTTTCTTGGGTTCTGATGATAAATCATCAATAAAAAAACCACACACATGTTCTCTAGCATCAAATATCTCTTTATGAGTAATATTTTGGTAAGCTGAATTTAAACAAATCAAAACCATGAATAATAGATTCCTTTGGACTAAAAAAATGTGGAGGGGAAAAAGTGGTAGTCAGATGTGACCAGAAACCACAATTGTCATCTTTTTTTTTTTTTTTTTAATGTTCAGAGAAGGCACCAATCAAATCAAGAAACAGTTCTGTGAGAGGGACTTTAGTGATAGACACTATTCTTGGGTTGGGTCAGTCACTCCTCAGGCAGGACTTGGTCTTGTCCCCAACCTTCATTTATTTCCTTATCAGCAAATTATTCCTTCCCCATCCCTCCCTTTCCCTTTTCTGTGGGCTTCAGTTCCATATTTCTCAAATGCTATATGCTCTCAAATGACTAGTTTTTCCGTCCAATAGCTCCCACAGTTATCTTTTTCTCTTTGAAAAATATACTCACATGTTATTAGACAAGTTTCAATGAGTCTGGAGGTCATCTTTAATACCTAGGAGGAAAGTGCAGCTCAGATAGTTAACTTTGGTTGGAGTATGGAACAGGGCTCTAGAACACAGATCTTCGGACTCTGAGTCCTGTGAATTGATTATTACTCTACAGGGTCTCACCTAGATCAAGCCTCATTACCAAATACTGGGACACCAGGAGAAGGCCCTTGGATTTGATGTCTTCCTTTTAAAATAATGCTTGTAGCAGGTGTTTTGCCAGGAGCTGGGCACCAGTCTGATTTGGGTAGGACCAACTACATAATTTAGAGCCCCATTGTAGAATAAAGATGTAGAGCCTGTTGTTAAAAATATTGTTGATAATTTTAAGATGGCAAGAGCAGAGCATTAATTTATGTGTAGGGACTTTCTGAGCTAGGACCCCATGGACTCACCACACAAGTCAAAAGTTGGTGAAGGTGACCCTGCCCATAGATTAATTTTCATAAAAAAATCTTCATATTGTCACCGTTCTGCTTGTAAATTTCTAAATGGTAGTAAGTGCTGTTTAAACTCTAAGAACTCTCCACTTAGGGCTGAAATCTGACTATTCATCCTAACTTCTCATGCTTCTGCTAAGCAAGCATTCTTCCTGCCTAACTAACAGAACAACATAGAGGAAACAGTGTCCATGTTCTTAGTAGCTGGTAGCAGAAAAATAGGCTGCATGAGAAAGAGTTTTTATGAATCTCCCAAAGAGAGAAGAGACCCTCAGGAAGATGCTCAGATAGCAAGAGGAAGAGGGAGACTCTCTTCCATCTAACAAAGAGAGGGGTAAGGAGGAGGCTAGATGGGGAAGATCCTAAGGGGCACAGTCTCAGGAAGAGACTTGGCTTCTCTGGCAGTAAAGCTTCCATGAGAAGAAATGAGTTGAGCTCTCTCTTTGTGTGCTGTAGAGTGTATTATGAAAAATCTTCTTTCATCATCTCCATAGAACCTTGCAGTGAACCTTGCTCCGTAATGTATCTGGCATAGAAATTTTGGATCTGTGAACAGGTGCTGAGATTGCCAGCAGATGGATTCTGGCAATTATCTCACCATTTCCTGAACGCAACCGGCATGCATTATTTCCATGTCACCCCTCTGAACCCCCTGCCCCCGCTATTCCTTCTTCTTTGTCCCTTTGCTTACTTAAAATTTACACATACTATCAGGTCCAAATTAAACTTTTCTTTCTTTAAGAAAACTTAAGAACCATCCGGCCTTAAACTGATCTCTTTTGCCACACAGACATTTTGCCTGTTACTGTTTATTCAGCAACAGCATGGTTTCTCTTTGTGGAGAGAAATGTTATATCCCCACTAGAGGCTCACTGAGGGCAGCACTTCTCTTGTCACCTGATTTTACTATCACAGCCAGCCCCGTACTTTTCTACATAGCAGAGATGATGATGACCCTACAAAGGAGAGTTGATGGAGCTGGAGAAAAACTTAATGTCAAAGAGAACGAAAAAAAAGGAGCAGAAAATATTTGAGTTTTAGAGACATATCTCTGTAGCCTGACCTAGCAGCATGGGGTGGGTATCTCTGAGGGAGGCAAAGCCTTCCATAAAATCTATTGATAAAGTCTATTAATAAATAGTGTCTTTTGAAAGATGGCATTTTGATCAGGTACATTAGTAAGCCTAATGCTTTTTAATAATCTTCATGAAGCAAGTGACCAACATCCCACAATGGAGGTTATGGATAAGTACAATGGAGGAAACATTGGGAATGTCCAGGCTGTTCCAGAACATTTCTGTGACCCATGAAGTAATCACTAGTTCCTTGGAAGGAACTTGAGTTTCCTACTTGTTCTCAGAAAGCATTCTATTACCGTCGTCCATCAGCATATTAAGTTCTATAGTTTTCAGGTAGCGTATGTCCCAATCTTTCTGTCTAAATTACTTGCCACATTGATATTGTTCTGCAAGTATTGCTTATACAGATATCCTATGGGGCACAAACCATAATTAGTAAAGTCAATGTTTTGGTGCCTACAGTGAGCAAAGGCAGGTAGGCTGCACATCTTTGAGCATTCCAGGTTAAACATGGTTATTTCTGTGTGGCCAGCCCTCCTGTGCGGAGTTTTATTGAAAGGTAGGGAGTTGAGATCAGGTGAGAAAGAAAGAACCGAGACTGTTGCTGGACAGGCTCTCAAAGCAGGAATGACTTTTATGCCAACAGGGAGGGTAAGTTTTATACTTGATTTCAGATGTGATATCTGAGAAGTCAAACATGGTCTGGCAGTAATGATAATGAGTAGATGGTCCCACAGCAGAAAATTCAAAAGGCCCTTTGTCTATGAAGCCAGGTGGGTCAGTAGCAATATCGATTAATTGGGAATTTAGTCATTTCAAAAAGAAATGACACTTATTCAAACAGATTTTTTTTTCCTTCAAGACGCTGTTTTTGTGGAGCATGCTTTTCTCCATGGTACCTGTTGCAGCAGTATTAGTCTTAGAGACTTGGAGCCTGGTTTTGCCAGGCAATTTAGGCTCATCTATCTCTAAGGTTCATATTCATATTAATTAAATTTGATGCTGATATATGTACACAGAATATAAATTTGTCCATTTAGAAAAGCTCTAACTTGTCAGAGGAACCAGGATCCTCAAGTCTTCAGCACAGATATATTTTCTCTGTTTAGGTCATCCTGTAAGGAATCCAGATTCCGATTAGAAGGCTTGCCAGTGTGGCTTGAGAACATAACATCAGTTTGATGAGCTTGAGCCATTATGGCTAACTTAGCTTGTTGTTGTCACTGTTTCAAAAAGAGAGATTATATTCTGTTTCCTGTAAGTAGGCGCATTGCCTAGTCAACATGCTTTTGAACGTTCCTTTTGAGTCTTCCATAACTCACCAGACACGTTCAGGATCAAGATATTCTTTTCTTCCGTATGCTAAAAACTCTATACAGTTCTAGACAGATCCTGCAGGCTTAGGTCTTTAAGGTGAGCTTGCAAGTTATAATGACTTTTTAGAATTAATCTTCTTGTTTTCTTCTACTTTTTTTTTTCAGATCATCAATGATTATTTTTTAGTCTGTGGAAAATAAGGAGAAAATCTTAGTCACTTCTTTGTAGTAGGGGCAAGGTTGTATTATGGAGAAGTTTTGTTGGAAGTGACAAGTTCATCAAAAAGTCACTGGGAACGGAGAGAACATTCCAGTTGCAGGAGACACCAGTGGGGAGAAGATGACTTGTATTGATTCAGCTGGATGGAGATGAGGTACTGACCTACTGATTCAAAGAGATTACCTTAATGCTTTCTAGGGCATAAGCCCATGGTGGTGGACAAAAAAAGCATGATGATTGCTCTCTGATCAGGACAAGATGGTGGGTGCTAACCTTAGCAAAGATTAAACTCTTAGATGCTCAATGCTTGGAAAACAGACACGATGCAGGAAAAAAAAATGTTTTTTTCTGGAAAATCTAATTCTACCTTGGTTGATGGAGTAAGCAAAGAAGGTGATATTTTTACTTTGCCTTTATTTTTCTGTCTAGTCTGTCCTCCTTTCACATAGAAAGTAACTATATTGGAGCATACAAATATTTTTCTTTTGGAGGTTTAACTAATATGCTCATAATTTGGTTTTCTTTTTGAATGAGCATTAGAAGAAAAATTTTATGTTACTAAGTGAAATAAAATAAAAATAAAACTCTCCAAATCAAAACCAACATAAAAAAAGCAAAACCTTATGAAGGGATCGTGTCATTAGTTTTCAGTAGAGTTCACTACCAATCTGAATGTTGATAATTGTAATAATTGTTGAAATTGTAATAATTCTCTTGTAAGTTAAGATCAAGACATTATTGAATTCTGAGAGAGAGAGAGAGAGAGAGAGAGAGAGAGAGGCTCCAGTTGCTTAGTTGATAGGTCCTTTTCCTTTCCCAAGATATAAAAAGCAAACTTTTTTAATGGTGATATAAGTTGTACCAGGGTGCAAGCCCTCTTAATAGTCCTGTTCTGTGAATATGTAACTATGGAAACTAATTTTTCAAGTATACAAGCGTGGGATATTTGCAAATATCTCCTTGTAGTCGTTAAGCACAAAGCAAATCAAGTTATTTAATTCCATTCAGGTAGCATTAAATTCATTTCAAGGCCTTCATTTTCAGGATTCCACTCTTACTGTTTATAGTACATATTGATTCTCAAGAGGGTACTTTAGAAAAGAGAGGGCAGTGTAATTACCTCAATAAGAAAAGAAATGTTGTTTAGGGGTACACATTGGAGTGTTGGTATAATACTGCTCAGGCTGAAGCTGTAAATCTAGTTTAAAGATATGCATTATATACCAAATTTTCTTAGTTAAATAAATGACTTTTTGTGTGCTTTAAGAATGGATTTCCTGCCTATCCAAGAACAAGGGAGATCTTTCTATCTTCTATGGTCTTCTTTAATTTCTTTCTTTAGTATTCTGTAGGTTTCATTGTAGAGGTCTTTCACCTCTTTCGTTAAGTTTATTCCCAAGTATATATTTTTTTTGAGTCTATTGTAAATGGGGTAGTTTTACTAGTTTCTCTTTCAGAGAATTTGTCATTGATGTACCAAAATGCCTTTGCTTTATGGGGTTTGGTTTTATATCTTGCTACTTCACTGAATTCATTTAATAGTTTTACAAGTTTTCTGGTGGAAGTTTTGGTTCTTCTAGGTATAGAATCATATTGTTGGCGAATAGTGTTAATTTGAGTTCTTTTCCTATCTGTATCCCTATAATTTCTTCTGTCTGTCTAATTGCTCTGGCCAGTGTTTCAAGAACTATATTAAATAGAAGTGGTGAAAGAGGGTATCCCTGTCTTGTTCCAGTTTTTAGAGGGAATACTTTTAATTTTTCTCCATTTAGAATGATGTTGTCCTGGGGCTTAGCATAGATAGCCTTTATGATGTTGAGATATATTCCTGTTATCCCCAGTTTTTCTAGTGTTTTGAACATGAAGGGGCACTGTATTTTGTCAATGCTATTTTTGCATCTGATGAGATGATCATATAATTTTTAGCTTTAAGTCTATCTATATGATGAATTACATTTATTAATTTCCATATGTTGAACCAAATTTGCATTCCTGGGATGAACCCCACTTGATCATGGTGCACTATCTTTTTGATACATTTTTGTATTTGATTTGCCAGAATTTTACTGAGAATTTTCACATCTATATTCATTGTTCTGAAATTTTCTTTCTTTGATGTGCAATTGCATGGTTTTGGAATCATGGTGATATTGGCCTCATAGAATGAGTTTGGAAGTATTCCCCCTTTTTTCTATTTCATGAAATAATTTGAGGAATATTGGAATTAGTTCTTCTTTGAAGGTCTTGTAGAACTCATCTGTGTATCCATCTGGTCCTGGGCTTTTTTTTTTTTTGGTTGGTAAGCTTCTGATAGCATCTTCTATTTCATTGCTTGAAATTTATCTGTTTAACTTATGTATATATCATCCTGATTCAGTTTGGGCAGACCATATGTCTCTAGAAATTTTTCAATATCTTCAATATTTTCTATTTTACTGGAGAACAAATTTTCTTTTTTTTTAATTTGTAGATCTCATATAATTTTTTATTAGTTGTTCAAAACATTACAAAGCTCTTGACATATCATATTTCATACATTTGATTCAAGTGGGTTATGAACTCCCATTTTAACCCTGTATACAGATTGCAGAATTACATCAGTTACACATGCACGTTTTTACATACTGCCATACTAGTGTCTGTTGTATTCTGCTGCCTTTCCTATACTCTACTATCCCCCCTACCCTACCCTACCCTCCCATTTCTCTTTCTACTCCATCTAATGTAATTCATTTCTCTCCCTTGTTTTTTTCCCTTTCCCCTCACTTCCTCTTATATGTAATTTTGTATAACAATGAGGATCTCCTTCCATTTCCATGCAATTTCCCTTCTTTCTCCCTTTCCCTCCCACCTCTCGTCCCTGTTTAGAGTTAATCTTCTTCTCATGCTCTTCCTCCCTGCTCTGTTCTTTGTTGCTCTCCTTATATCAAAGAAGACATTTGGCATTTTTTTTAGGGATTGGCTAGCTTCACTTAGCATAATCTGCTCTAATGCCATCCATTTCCCTGCAAATGCCATGATTTTGTCATTTTTTAATGCAGAGTAATACTCCATTGTGTATAAATGCCACATTATTTTTATCCATTCATCTATTGAAGGGCATCTGGGTTGGTTCCACAGTCTAGCTATTGTGAATTGTGCTGCTATGAACATCGATGTAGCAGTATCCCTAAAGTACGCTCTTTTAAGGTCTTTAGGGAATAGTTTGAGAAGGGGAATAGCTGGGTCAAATGGTAGTTCCATTCCCACCTTTCCAAGGAATCTCCAAATTGCTTTCCAAATTGGCCTCACCAATTTGCAGTCCCACCAGCAATGTACAAGTGTACTCTTTTCCCCACATCCTCGCCAGCACTTGTTGTTGTTTGACTTCATAATGGCTGCCAATCTTACTGGAGTGAGATGGTATCTTAGGGTGGTTTTGATTTGCATTTGGAGAACAAATTTTCAAAGTAATTTCTAATTATTGTCTGTATTTCTGTAGTGTCTATTGTGATATTTCCTTTTTCAACACAGATATTAGTAATTTGAGTTTTCTCTCTCCTCTTTGTTAACATGGTTAAGGGTTTCTCAATTTTATTAATTTTTTCAAAGAACTAACTTTTTGTTTTGTCAGTTTTTTCCACTTGTTTCTTTTGTTTCAGTTTCATTGATTTCAGCTCTGATTTTAATTATTTCATGTCTCCCACTGTTGGCAACAGGTCCACCTTGGCCCCTGGAGCCCTACCTCCACTAGTTTGTTCTGCATGCCAGTGTGGCCAGCTCACAAGGCCATGGCGAACTTGCGGTTTTTCTGTTCCTGCTTGTCCGTCTGAGACATATGTATCCCACGGGAATGCCTTGACCTTTTCTGGTCTGATGGACTTATTGTTAAGGGAGGTTTCGGTACCTGACAATAATAGATGTTGAAACTAAATTTCTCCCCCCTCCCTCCTGCTTTTGGGTAGTTTTCCACTTCTGCTGCTTGGGGTATAAAAAAAGGTGTGTTAGCAATAAAGATTATTGACTCCTGGATGAAGAAAAAAAAAAAAAGAATGGATTTCCTTATGAGACACAGAACTTCCTAGTATGCTATTGATTTGTTGTTTTGTAATTTGATGAACTTTTTCTAAATATAAAAAGTATAATTATAGTCAGTTCTATTATAATATAATATATGTGTTTGTAAATAAATCACCCTGCTAAGCAAAATCACACAATATAAAACACAGAGCTTGTGGGAACCAGAGCAAAGGCAGACACATAAAAATAAGGCAGGCATTCGGTAAACAGGTAGCATAGTTTTATACATGTTAAGTGGTTGATAAATAAATATTGCAATGAATATGGTATTTTATCTTGAAAAGACTGGAAGTTTGCTGGTAGGAGAGTCAGTTTGTGAGTTTTTGTGAAATAGCGGAAGAACAGGGTTCTGTTTGTGTGTTTTATACTGGGGATTAAATCTAGGGGCACTCCACCACTCAGTTACATCCCCAGCTCTTTTTATTTTTTATTTTGAGACAGTGTCTTGCTGAGTTATCAAGAATGGCCTTGAACTTGTGATCCTCCTGCCACAACCTTCTAGTAGTTGGGATTATAGGCATACATCGCCACACCTGTATGGAAAATCAGTTATTTTGAAGTCACTGGAAAGTTGCATTTCCAGATAGACTGAGCTAAGTGGTAAGTGCTTGGTCTTCATGTGTTTTGTGTGTTACTATGAGTCTCATTTTAGTTGAATGCCTTTTCCTCCATTATCTCGGCATTTCTTGTGGATGAAATGATGATTATAAGTAACTGTGAATTGGAAATCCTTGCTATTCACAATTTCCCTCTGGTATAGCAATGCTGGTTGAACAAATTTACATCAAAAAAGCTTTTCACACCAGAATTAATTAAATCAATTCCAAGTCATGATTGACATTGTCATCATCCTTTAACATCTTATTGAGTTAGTTTTATAACTTTTTAGACATAAATATTATCTTACAGTTTTACTTAATTTTTAAAATAATAAATCTTGGAAATAATCACCTTTCAGAACATGTTAAAATCACTTCTCACAATTAGAGAATAAATGTTAGATAACCTGATAATCTAGCACTTATTTCTCTTTTCTGTAATTTCTTTTTTTTTTTTTTTTAAGTCAAGTGTGCTTTGCCACTGAGCAACATCCCCAGCATATTTTATTTTCTATTTTTTTTTGAGGTAGGTACTCACTAAATTGCTGAGGCTGGCTTTAAACTTGCAATCTTCTTGATTCCGCCTCCCCAGTCACTGGTACAGTCATGCACCACCAAGCCCAGCTACTTATGAAGATTTTGTTGTTAGCTCGCAGAGTCTTCTTGAAAGCAAATATCCTTCTGTTATTTCTCCTAGTTTTAGGACAAAAAGCTATTGACTTGACTTACCTCAGAAAGTACCAGCTATGTAAGGTTAACTTATTTTTTAAAAAAATGAAGTCACACTTTTTTTGGTTTAGTTAATTTTTTAAAATTTATATATAACAGCAGAATGCATTACGATCCTTATTACATATATAGAACACATTTTTTCATATCTCTGGTTGTGTACAAAGTATATTCACACCAATTTGTGTCTTCATACATGTACTTTGGATAATAATTATCATCACATTCCACCATAATTTCTAACCCCATGACCCTCCCTTCCCCTCTAACCCCTCTGCCCTATCTACTGGCATTTCTTCTAAAAACTGGAACAAGACAGGATTGTCCTCTTTCACCCCTTCTATTTAACATAGTTCTTGAAACATTGGCCAGAGCAATTAGTCAGATGAAAGAAATTAAAGGGATACACATAGGAAAAGAAGAAATCAAATTGGCACTTTTTGCTGATGATGTGATTCTATACCTAGAAGATCCTAAAAGTTCACCAGGAAACTTCTAAAACTAGTAAATGAATTCAGCAAAGTAGCAGGATATAAAATCTACACCTATAAATCAAAGGCATTTCTGTATATCAATGACAAAACCTCAGAAAGGGAAATGATGAAAACTACCCATTTACAATAGCCTCAAAAACAAACAAACAGCAATAGCAACAACAACAACAAAGCAACCAAACAAACAAACAAAACTTGGGAATCAACTTAATGAAAGAGGTGAAAGATCAATATAATGAAAATTACAGAACTCTAAAGAAAGAAATTAATGAAGACCTTAGAAGATGGAAAGATCTACCTTGCTCTTGGATAGGCAGAATTAATATTATCATAATGACCATACTTCCAAAAGCACTATACAGATTTAATGCAATTCTGATCAAAATCCCAATGACATTCCTTACAGAAATAGAAAAAGCAGTCATGAAATTCATCTGGAAAAATAAGAGACCCACAATAGCTAAAGCAATCCTTAGCAGGAAGAGTGAAGCAGGTGGCATCACTATACCAGATCTTAAACTATACTACAGTAACAAAAACAGCATGGTATTGGCACCAAAACAGACTGGTAGACCAATGGTACAGAATAGAGGACATAGAGACTAACCTACAAAATTACAATTATCTTATATTAGACAAAGGTGCCAAAAACATGCACTGGAGAAAAGATAGCATTTTCAACAAATGGTGCTGGGAAAACTGGAAATCCATATGCAACAAAATGAAATGAAACCCATATCTCTCACCAGGCACAAAACTTAACTCAAAATAGATCAAGGACCTAGGAATTAAACCAGAGACTCTGTGTCTAATAGAAGAAGACTCTGCATTTAATCCATCATGTGGGATTAGGCTCCAACTTCCTTAATAAGACTCCTTTGGCACAAGAATTAAAATCAAGAATCAATAAATGGGATGGACTTAAACATAAAGTCTCTTCTCAGTGAAAGAAATAATCTGTGAGGTGAATAGAGAGCCTACATCTTGGGAGCAAATCTTTACCCCTCACACATCAGATAGAGCACTAAACTCTAGGATATACAAAGAACTCAACAGGCTAAGCACCAAAAACAACAACAAAAAAACAAATAACCCAATCAATAAGTGGGCCAAGGACTTGAACAGACACTTCTCAGAAGAGGATATACAATCAATAAATAAATATTTTAAAAAATGTTCATCATCCCTAGCAATTAGATAAATGCAAATCAAAACCACTCTAATATTTCATCTTACTTCAGTCAGAATGGCAGCTATTATGAATACAAACAACAATAAATGTTGGCGAGGATGTGGGGAAAAAGGTACACTCATACATTGTTGGTGGGACTGCAAATTGGTGCAGCCAATGTGGAAAGCAGTATGGAGATTTCTTGGAAAATTGGGAATGGAACCAGCATTTGACCCAGCTATCTCTCTCCTTGGTCTATACTTACAGGACTTAAAAGAAGCATACTACAGGGACACAGCCACATCAATGTTTATAGCAGCACAAGTCACAATAGGTAAACTGTGGAACTAACCTAGATGCCCTTCAATAGATGAATAGATGAAAAAAATGTGGCATACATACATAATGGAATACTACTCAGCAAGAGAAGAGAATAAAATCATGGCATTTGCAGGTAAATGGATGGAGTTAGAGAAGATAATGCTAAGTGAAGTTAGCCATCCCCCCAAAACCAAATGGCAAGTGTTTTCTTGATATAAGGAGGCTGATTCATAGTGGGGCAGGGAGGGGGAGCATGGGAGGAATAGACAAACTCTAGATAGGGCAGAGGGGTGGGAAGGGAAAGGAGTGGGCATGGGGTTAGAAATGATGGGAGAATATAATGGTCATTATTATCCAAAGTACATGTATGAAGACACGAATTGGTATGAGTATACTTTGTATACAACCAGAGATATGAAAATTGTGCTCTATATGTGTAATAAGAATTGTAATGTATTCTGCTGTCATATATAAATAAAATAATTAATCAAAATTTAAGGACTACTGCATGGGGAAGGCTATGGCGATGACTGCAGTGTCCCAAGATGAAAGTGCATTAGGCTTAGTCTTCCAGGTGGGGAGTGGGGGTTTGGATGGGTGGGTGGCAAACTCGGACCTAATCTGGACCTGGGTCCTGCACAAGTTGGTTTGGGTGGATCTAGGCTAGGCCTGGGCTCCTGTGGTGGTCTGCTGGTCAGAAGAGGTGGTCCTGTGCCAGAGGCTCGGCTGGAGTGGGTGTCTGCCCAACCGGGCCTACTGTGAGCCTGGGTCTCCTACAAGCCAGTGTGGGTGGATCTGGGTGAAGTTACCCTTTTGGAAGTACTTTCCAAAATCAAAGATTTACTTCAATTACTTCATATGAAGTGTAAATATGTTCTCACAAGAGTCATGGCAAGGTATCTGTGTGTGCAGGTGGTAGTAAGAATTCAGGGAGAAACTACATTTCATGTGCTAATAAAAGGATGCATGTGCTTGATTCTTTACCTGCACTTTATCAGCGGGGCTCCTTTTTCTGTAGCACTTAAACCTCCCTAAGCACTGAGGTGAGGAGTACTAGGATGCCTACTGCATTTGTGGCTCCCAAGTGCTCCTGGAAGACAGAAGGTACTCAGTTTCTAAAAAATGACTTGAGAGCATCCACTCTCAAGCCACAATTTATTGAAATGTCTGTGAAATGAATTGATTTAATTCTAATCATATGACATGAATCTCTCAGGAACTTAATACTGAAGGGAGTCTGGACTTTCAGTCCATTTCTTTTCTCTCACCTCTAAGTTCTTAAGAAAAAAATAAGAAGTAAATGCAGAGAATTCCCTTTAAGACTGGTATCAAAATTTGCACCTAATTTTTCTAGAAAATGTAAGTATAAATATATTTATATATATAAACAAATATATGTATATATATAAATGAGTTGTAGGCCTCTTGATGGTGTTCTACAAAATCAAACTGGGGGTGAGAGTGCGAGTGTGAATTAATTAGAAACTTGATGTTGCAGAGGCCAGGAGGAGCAAATTTGAGAAGTGTACTTGTTGGTTTAAATCACATGAATGTAATTTTTCATGATTGTCAGTAGCCCTTGTATGGCATGTAGAAATTCAAGAATACAATGAAGACAGCTAAACCAATTTCCCAAAGTCCCACATGCTTAAGTCCTGAAACTTATCAGGAGAAAGAAAGTCAGATCATGAGTATTGTACAAATCTGTATTACTACTGAAAATATAAACAAAAAAACTATTTTATGCATCATTTAATTGCTATTAAATTTATCATTAGTGATTTACTGATTTATAATGATGCTAGAGAAAAGAACCATTACACAATGATGAAATCTCAGATACTCTACACAAGCCCTTCAGTTAAAAAATACTTGTTATGTGATCACAAATACATCAGATCAGGTAAGATGAATGAGATACTTTTTTGTTTATATTTATATTGAGCTAAGAAAATTAAAAACATTCAATTTGTAATCAAAAATTTGATGCCATGAAATTTTCTTATGCCTGCACAATAATTGTACTGAATAGTGAGTATCTCTGTGGCATATTTGCACAAGTATACAACATAATTTGGCCAATTTCACTTCCCAGTACTCTCCCTAAACCTCCCCTCCTTCTTCCCCCAACCCCTTCTTTTATCCTGATAATATTCCTTCTGCTTTCACAATGTCCTTTTCCCCCACTTCTCTTTCTAGCTTCTGTGTATTGAGAGAAAACATTCAATACTTGACTTTATAAGTCTGGTTTATTTTCCTTAACCCAATGCTCTCCAGTTCCAACGATTTTCTTGCAAATGACACAAGTTTGTTCTTCTTTATGGCTAAATAAAGATTTTTTTCTTTATCCAGTCATCTGTTGATGGGCACCTAGATTAATTCCATAACTTTGCTTTGTGAATTGTGCTGTAATAACATGGGTTCACATGTATTGCTATGGCATGCTGACTTCAGTTCTTTTGGATAAACGTGAAGGGTCATGTGGTAGTTCTCCTTTTAGGTTTTTGAAGAGCCTTCGTATTGATTTCCCTAGTGACTCTATTAATTTACATTCCCACCAACAGTGTGCAAGTTCCTTTTCCCTGCATCCTTGTCAGCATCTCTTGTTCTTTGTATTCTTGATGTTTGTCATTCTGAGTGGAACTATATGGAATCTCAGTGAAATTTTGATTTGCATTTCTCTTATGACTAAAGTTATTGATTTTTTTCCCTATAATTGTTGGCCATTTTCTTCTTTTGACATACGTCCAGTTCATTTAACTATTTAATGAATGAATTATTTTATTTTATTTTGTTTTGTGTGTGTATGTAGGGGGGTGGTGAGTTCTTTATATTCTTTGTCAGAAGGGTAACTGGCAAGACTTTCTCCCATTCTGTAGACTCTCTTGTCACACTTTTGTTTCCTTTGGTGTTTCAGGAGATTTTAAATTTGATGTCATCCTGTTTATAGATTTTTGGTATTATTTCCTGAGCTATAGGAATCCCATTCTGGAAGTTGTTGCCTATGCCTATATGTTTACATGTTTTCCCTGTGTTTTCTCGTAGCAAATTTGAAACCAGGCACTGTGATGCCTCCAGCATTGCTCCAGCATTGCTTGCCTATTCTGAGTATTTTATTCTTCCATATGCATCTTAGGATTGTTTTTTTCTAGGTCTGTGTAGAATGCCATTGGTATTTTGGTGGGGACTGCATTGAATATGTAGATAATTCTTGGTAGTATGGATGCTATGAAATCTTATGCTATTTTTCTCAAAAGACCAAAGGGTTATAGAATCCATGTAAATTCAATATTTAAGAATGAATGCTGTTCTTGTATTAACTAAACAGCCAAATAAGAACAATGACATGGGAATGGGGTTGTAGCTCAGAGGTAGAGTGCTTGCCTAGCACGTGGAGCCACTGGATTTGATCCCCAGAACCACATAAAAATAAATAGCAAAATAAAGGTATTGTGTTCATCTACAATTAAAACTATTTATAAAAAGGAGCAATGACATAAAATGTATTACATACAGGACCAGAAATTACATATCAGGTATAGGGTATGCATTGAGAAGAAAACTTTTATTGTTCAGAGTTGGCATTAGAGGTCTATACTTAAACTGTGTTGGAAAATCAGGAGAACAAAGTTGGAATCATGAGCTTTCAGGGTCAAGGTTCTTGCTGTGTGAGACAGCCAGTTTGCAGCAAGGGGAAATGAAGCCAAAATATACCAAGACACTGAAATTAGAGGCAGGGAGAAAGCCATGTTGTATGAGCCCATGGATTTCCCCCATCAGCCCTCCCAATGTGACTCCATGCTTGCTGTTTTTGTGTTCTATCAATTCCACAAATCAGTCTATTTCAATTTTTGCTCAAGCTGCTTAGGTTTCTACCAGTTACAACTACAGCACTACAGGGGCCTGTTTATGCCACATTGAGGGCTTCCTGTGGCTCTGCAGCCCTGACATTCCTCCCCAAACTGAAACCCTTCCTTCCAGACACTGATGTTTCTACGGATTGGATCTCCATATGAACTGTCACTACATCATCGAGAGTACAGCCCACTTGAGTGGCAGAAATTAAAATTGCTAGCTAATGGACCAAAAGGGGTACTGACTGCAGCTGCTTCAGAGACTAAGGGAGGGGCAGACTCCCTCTCAGGGAAAAATCATCGTCCTCTGAGATTGCTCATCGTTGGGGCTTTTCAGTTAATAAGGGAGTTATGTCCAGGCTAGTGTGCTTAGTCAACATTGAGGCAACAGGAAGCTAAATTGTTCTGGCTGAAAAAGGAAGAAATACCTTTTTAAATTGGACCAATGTCAGAATAACCCCGCAGGGTCGAACAGCATGTCTATGTACAACATAGCAACCAATAGTCCAGCTATGCAGAGCAAGAGCCAGTTTATTTCCATGAAGAGATGGAACCCTCCTGCTTCTGAGTGGCTGGAGTTTCTGGTTAACAGGAACTTTGGTGGCATGTTCAGAGTTGGAAAGTTAGGCTCATTTGTGTTCGTTTTGACAAATTCAGTAGATTCATGAGTCAAGTCTCTATGGGGTGAAACTGAAAATGTTTTGAACTTCCTCATTTTGGCTGAGATCCGTCTCATACATAAAGGCTCCACTTTGCAGCCACAAGAGCAAAAGCATCACTTCTTCTGGGGATGATCTTGTTCCTAAAATCTGCTTCTGCTATTTATTACCTATCTTATTGATAATTAGCCTGCTATATTAGTTTTTCTTTATATTCTTCAGCTGATTGTGCTTCTGCTTTTGTATCAGACTTTCAAATTTGTGATTTTCATGAATTTAAGGAACCTGAATTTTAAACTAAGGAAGCTTATGCATATTCTGAGGGATGGTTGCTCATAACAATAAGTGACATTTATTTAATTTGTGCATGTTGGATTAAAATTTTGGCTGAGGGATCAATATGATTTTCCCCTATGATGGGTTATTTTGAAAGATAAATGTGTGCTTTAATTTAATCCTTCAATGCACTCTGCCTATGAATAATGCTTTTTAATGAATTTTACATTAGTTAAAAAAAATCCTGACAATGCTTTGCAAATCTAGGCCTAAATGAGGAGGGAGAGGGAACAGGAAGTGGGTACAGGGTTGCACAGGGAGGGG